ATCATTTAAAAAAATCACAAAAGATTATCAATAATTTATTCTAACATGTTGTTTGAGCAATATTTCATAGACTTTTCTTAACTTACAAAGTTTCATGAGTAATTTCGTGCAATTTTAAAACAATATATCATATTGTTGAGGATTTCAAAATTAGTAACTTTATGCGTGGATATGAGATAACTTCTGAAAATTTTTTGATACTTTTGATAATAATTTCTCTTATCTATGCTAATGGTAACTATGCTATATCAACTTCTGCTAATTGTTAATTTCTACTAATTTTTTATAAAATCATTAAAGTTCTTTAAATCAATCCATATGTTACAATTTTTACTTCTTAAAAAACAAAAAAAAATTTTACAATTTATAGACGAACAGTTTGAAAGTGTATGATGAAGTATGACACATATAATTAATCTACAAAAAAAATTCGTTCTACTTATGTATTTATACTAAAATTATACCAAAATTTGTAATAAAACCATACCAAAATAATTATCACCTTAAATTTATTAAAATTACTGATTTTTTTTTTCATTCAAATTAAAAGGAAAATTTCTGGAAAGCTAGAATTGATTGAAAAACGAAAATGGGTGGCAGGAAATCATTAATGATGTAGTGGGAATGTTTCATAAAATGTCGTATTATTTTTGATTGCTTAATTTGTTCACAAACTTTAATCTCAATAGTTTTAGAAATTCCTAACATAAAGAATGAGTTTCAGAGAAGTATCTGAAAAAAAGTAGTGTTGATCTAATTTATGTTTTATTGATCTATTTAAATATCCATTTATCATTAAATCATTTAAATGAAGTTTAGAAAATGTGAAAAATCATATTTGATTTCAATTTTTCTTGTATGACTTATGAATTTTAATTGATTATGAATTTGAACTTGTTAATAAGGATATGTCCAATATACTGAACCAAGCAGATGACAATAACTAGTTGTAGTAGGTGAACGATCTTTCAACGCAGCTAATTTGTATGAAATTATTACTTAAATCCATACTTTCATATTTGTCATTAAATTCTCTCTTAATAAAACAGAAAAAAGTAGTGGAAAAAAGTAATATTGAAATATAATTTTAAAGTTTTAAAATAAATTGAAATAGTTGAAGTAACTGCAATCATTTGTCAAGTTTACAACAGTAAGTTATCATTTATATCTTCTTGTGATCACTTATCACAAAATTAGATCATTATGCTACCAGAACATTTTGCCGCGGTAAGAAAGAATACTTCCTAAAAGATTACTGTATGTATCTTACAGGTCATCAAGTAATATGAGCCATATGGAAATTTAATTCAGAATTCAATTAACTGATTGTACTACGAAGATCTTTTTAGAACAACATTAGAAAATGTTCATTTAATAAATAGAAAGTAACATTCTGAAATTTTCATTTATTATTCAATAACTCATAAATGAAAAAAAAGTGCGCACTTGGAAAGTAAGATCGACCTGATGTGTAGACATTAAATTTAATAACATTCATTGAAGTTTAACTTTTCTGCCATATCATTCATAATTATGATATATTATTTGAGATATGTGCAATATGAAAATATTTGCATTATGCTCATTACCTCACTTAATGTGCTTAAATAGAAGATGCTAAAAGTTGATTATAATTCAACATAATTCCACTTTTCCCTCTTCTTTTTTTTTTTTTTTTTAACAAAAATTTTGTACTTTAAATATGTTGTACTAATTGTTTCTATAATTATTAGGAAAAGGTTTTCACTGGCTGATTAATCGTGCTGTATTTTTTATTCAGTTTACTCAATTCTTTTCTCCAATCAGTCCCATGTAGAAAACAAAATGATTAGCAATTTTGATAAATACTAAACAAACATTTGAATATTCAAAAATATTAACTATAAAATAATTAATGGGTAGATGGAAGAAGATGATGCACTTCGTTTGACTGATATGTCACTGACAATTCCATGGTGGATTTGATTTTCTTATGGATAGTCAGTTATCTGTCAAGTCATAAGATTCAATTACGTCACTGTTTGCTAAAAGATATTTTGTACTGACCATATTTATTCGATTTTTTAATGAAATTTGAAATTAAAAATTCATCTTTTCGATATTTGTTTTTTTACAAATCATTAAGTTGCGAAGGATATTTGTTCATTAAAAGTTAATTTGGAAATGCCTTTCAAATTAAAAAGAGATCTCAGACATACTTGTTTATAACTCGATTAAGCAGAATGCTAAATTACTATTTTTTTTTTTAAAAAAAAAATATTATAAACTTGAAAAAAAATTTGCAACTTGTCAAGTTTTGTAAAATTACAAAACTTTGAAATATTTCGATGAAAAGAGTATATTAATGAATCAAAGATGAAACCCGCAAATTAATGTTTAAATTACCAGACATTCTTCTGACAAAAGTCATTCCGACATTTCATATAGGAATTGTTTCAATTACTTAATAACAACAAATAAATCAACTTTATGCATGTATTCCCTTCTTCACTTATTCATCACAAATAAACCATAATTTCTTTTTCAAATGAATAAACTGATGATTACATGAATTAACCAAATGATAGTCATAATGACAATCGTGATTTTTTGAATCATTTTTTGACAACTAATAACTTTCAATTACTTTTCCAGAAAAACAATAAGTTTTCCATTTATTTATTTATTAACCCCAAAATTTGTAGTTGTAAACTCATGCAGTGTTATGTATGAAATATCCGCTTATTTTTATTTCATATTGTTAGAACAATATATGCTATAATATATTGTGTTTATAGCAGAATTATTTCAGACATAAGCACAAGTTGTCGCAAAATTTTAGCATCGGTAAACTCTAAAATATATAAATATACATATATAAAGTAAAAAAAGTAAAAAGAAAAAGTAAGACAAAAAGAATTAAGGTAAGAAATATGGTTGATGAACCCTTCGCAAATAATGCTTATACATAAATTCTTTGCTTTAAGTATGCACATACTATAAACCCTTTCTACATTGTTCCCTAATTGGTATTTAAACCTTAAATTACCTCCTTTTTTCCATGTTTACATTATGACCTGTCACTATCCCCGAAACCTAACAAAGAATTTATCATCACCACTCCTAGTTCAACAATATATATATATGTTGCGCTAAAACAATAAGGGATCACTTCCACTTGTAGTCAGCTTAATTTGTACCTCAATTTTTACAAATTTATTATATTGTTGCTTCTGTTAATAAAGGAAATATTATATTCCTGTGTTATTCCACATTTTACATATACATCAAATAAATCACTCCAGATCAGTAAACTCCCGATTACTGATCTGGAGAGATAAATACTTTTTTTTTTACTACACAAATACATGGACAAAAGCGCCAGATTTGCCACAATGTAATCATGCAGGTGTATTCCAGAAATTCTCATTGTTTCATTGTTATTTCAAAGAAACGCATGAATTTATGACCATTTCTTTCTTACTTATCAATTCATTTGCATAAAAAGTAGGTTATCAATAATCAATAATCCCCCAAATGATTATGTATAGTAATTTGCATTGAATCTTTCACGCAAACAATCAACATTATCTAGAATGTAATTTATAACATACCTGAGATTTACCATATCTGTTTCAGTTAAAGGACCATACTTCTATCAAAAACCGAATGTGTCTCGTTTACATTGGTTTTGAAAACACCCGATTTCAGGATGTGTTAAATCCCATAGTTTGAGAGAATAAACTTAAACTGAACTGTTTACTGTTACGATTAGGGTTGAGTTCGAACCTTTTTAATAAGTGATCGGTATGGCCTTAACTGAACCTTAAAAGTGATGCACGGAATATTCTCCAACGAATCCTATATGATGCAAGTAATTGTAACTGCCCCATTTTTATACATTTACATAGTCAACTTCCAGCATTCAATAACTTGTAATAAATAATTCAGAGACGAGATTTCGGTACCAAATAATGGATAGATTAGAATAATATCGCACGGAACTTTCACTTTTTTAATTCAGATTTAGATTATTGAAGACCTAAAAAAAGCATACATGTTCTTCAAAAACAATATAAAACCTTTTCGCATTGTCAAATGTTAAACAGCAATTTGCAATTAAAACCTTGTCACAGCAGAAATTTGCTTCAGCAGTAACCCATGCTTCACTGTGAATAAATCCAACATTAATGGGCAAAAAAGCTTTGCCTTGTAAAATTACTCATCACGTTGTTTACAAATTATCACACTTTCTTTATATTTCCAAATCAAATTCGACTGTACAGCCCAGCATGTTCATGGGAAAAGTGATAGAATACTGATCAATCAATCCCATACACCCAGTTGTTTGGATGAGGAAGATGCAAAGCTAAATAATAAACCCTTCAACTAATGAATTAAATAGAAAACATTAATTAAACAGTTAAATGTTACATGCCTCTCCGGAAGTTTTCAACTAATGCATATCCTCGTCAACAACGCTTTTTTTCTGTTGTTTTACATGCATCAGTACTATCCTATTCCCAATAAATGGATGGTATGTTACATATCTACCACTGCGTCTGACAATAGTATTCCGCATCGAATCCGACCATGCACAGCATCTCAAACTCTCCAAAATATTTTCAAATTACTAACGGTATCCTATATATGTTTTCCAAAACTGCTTTCGAATTCCACGTGCCAACTTCTGCTTTACTTTCGCTTGCGCAATCAGACACACTTGTAATTACGTTAGTATATTTTATAGTGCAATCTTATCAACATATAGCTCGTACATTAAGAACTCTTCTTTAATTACTCTGTAACCACTCAAATTTCTGAACAAACGGAAAAAGCAAATTAAATCAGCAACGCAAAAAATTTTAACCTCTTAAATACCGGACACAAAAAGATTTCTTTTGCTGGCATGACCTGAACAGAAAAATAAAGTTTTGGTTTCAAAATATGGAGCAAATTGAAAAACAACATCAATAGAGACTTAAGGAAAAATCACTGCTTGCATGGAAAGGTAGGACGAATCAACGGCGATCACTGTATCGATTACTGCCACTCCTGAAAGAGTCCATTACCAGAAATACTGAAGCTGACAATATGCAAGAAATGAGCTTACCTTTACTGGATTCCCCTTAGAACACATTACTAAGCATCAGAACAGTGCAGATTTCACAGCACGTAGTCCTCATGCAATACACACTGTTTTGTTTACTGATCCCAGCCCAATAAAACACAAAAATAACGAGCTTTCAGAAAATGTTTTTTAAACTCCAATAAACAGATGAACCACTAGCAGTTTGATAAACATGATGTTGGTAGACAAATGGACCAGTGGCGATTCGATATGCAGAGTCTCATTTGATATGATGTTATTTTGGGGGCAACATCTGACCGGCACTTGAGAAATAACTCCAATGTCGCACTGGCTAATTTTAAGTAAAATTAGTTTACAATTCTGAACATCACGACACGTACCACTTAAATGATTTTAAAGCCCACAGAGAAACAATGCCAGAAACCACGAACAACCAAATCACATTACAGTATTACCGGCAAAAAGACTAAAAACGGCCTTCATAATCCGAAAATCTCGAAGACAAAAAAGGAACGTACTGAGGAGCAGGACCCAGAAATACAAGTGCGCAAAATCGGACTTACCACTTGTAGTAGTACAATGCCCAATATTTCATTTAAAAGAATATCTTGTGATGTAACCACCAATATTATTCATCGCGGAATCCAGCAATTTACACAATCAAATGTAGCCGATTTTGTCAAAGCTACCAGTATCCGCCCACCGTACAACTGTTAACCGAATCATCTACGTATGAGTAGTACCAAAATTTGGCTTGGCCGGCAGAAGCCGTAAGTGAGGATAACTCATTTCACTCGTACCCGAACACCAGTGTGCATAGTTCGGCCAATGCAGAACGGACCGGTTTATACATAAGCAATGCTTTCTTTCCTTTCATTTAAGAGAGACTGAGTACTGGAATATAAAGAAAAATGAATTTTAGAAACTTTCGACATAACCAGTTGACAGCTTGAAAGTGGCATGAAGTATAAGTTTTATTGGTTTACTTATAATCCCCATCAGCTCATTAGCGGCAGTAGTTTCGTTTCTTAGAATAAACGAAACCTTTCAAAACAAACATAGTTCATTGTGTTCAGATTGAAATCACGGAGATATACATACCATCAGACACGAAGTGTAGCGTTTTGAAATCAAAATAGGGATGAAGATAGTCATGACATAAAATGCGGGAAGATGTTAATTCTTTTGGATTCAATCTGATGCACAATCTTGAACACGATTCATCGATCAAAAATCCTACCTTCGATCACTACCATTCCCGCTGCCACTGTAACTGCTTCGATAACCGCCTCCACCATATGAGCGAGAACTTCCTGATCGTCCTCCGTAACCTCCTCCACCATATCCACCGCCCCTACTACCATATCCACCATATGAACTAAAATATGAATTATAAAGCCAACATCGGAATAAAACAATTTCAAACAATTACATAGTGTAAGAGAAAGTTGTAGAAAAAAATTAGGAAAAATACAAACCGTGGACCACCACCTCCTCGATAACCGCCACCACCATAGCGACGAGGTGGACCACGTTCACCTGGTTTTCTTGGTGGATGAGCTGTAGCCACCTTAATCTTGTTTCTGCCAATGTACCTGCATATCGGTAACAGTTGGTAATATAGACTAATTGCATTACATCTTCAAACCTCAAATTATTCTCCAAACCCAAAATTTTTTGATGTAAAATACATCAACTTCATCGTACTTCAGATTCTATGTAATAATTAATATCAAATCAATCATCTATGAATTTACGCACGCATTATTCATCTCTTTCAGCGCATCAACAGCATCTTCCTTCGCTTTGAATGTCACAAAAGCAAACAGCGGTGGATACGACGCTAACCAAACATTATCGATGTCACCAAATTTGCTAAATAACTTCACTAATATAGAAAAATTATTTTATGAACTATATAACAGTTTACAAAAATCACCACAGAATAACGTTCCCAAATCTATTTGATGGTATATCAAGAAGAAATGTGAAAATATCACAATCTTACCCAAAATTATAGTCTTAAAAACATGGTTCGGGTGTGAATAAATCAACGCGTCCATAATACCAGTTTCCCAAAAGAAAAAAGGTTCGAAGAAATACCCGAATGCATCTTTCAGATCGTCTTTTCTCAAACTCTCATCGAAGTTACATATATGAAGCCGACCAAGCTGCTCAGCGGCACGATCAATTGATCTTGAACGGCTACGACGACGAGGTGGTGTATTGCTACGTGAGTCAGATCGTTCACTGGAAGTATGGTATGTGAAAACCAAAAATTATAAGGCTATAAGCCTCCACTAAAAAACGACTTCGCTTTGATTTGCGCAACTTTAACCAGATTTATTCTAGGTTAAAACATTAAAACATTTGGTTTCTTCAGCGCAAATAAATTATCGCACTAATCCTGATAGCGTATATATACATACCAAAGAGGAAGAATTGAGATATGAGATCCCCCATGAAATAAACGCTAAAAAGTTATCATGAATCATGAGATCATCGAATACGTTTCTCGAATAACTCTCTCAACTGCTGATTTTCCAAGCACTTTCTTCTTTCCTTTTATCAACGAACAAACAGACCTTCTAGGAGAATGACTTTTTGATCGATGACGATCGCTTCCAGATGACGACATTGTTAGGACCACTCTGCAAATAAAAAGCTCACCTTGATAATCTCAACAAACCCACTTACGTCCATGTTACAGTCAACCCAAACACCATTAACCTAGCACCTAAAATTTAACAAACCCTCAACACCACCACGTGACAGAGCACCTCCACAACGCAAACCAGCGCATCGCCTAAATATGTTAACTCCAGGTCCAGAATCAATTCGCTAAAAGCAGGCAGTACTAGTCAGTCGTCTATTGAAGCACTCTAACCACGAAACTCTATCCACACAACACTACTGCTAAGGGAGATTGATAGTTTTAATTGCATGTGGAAAATATGGATTGGTGAGGAAACTTTCATTAACAAAAATCTGTACCCATCAGACTTTTTTTATCGATTCCTTTTTAAAAAAAAGGAAAAAAACCCAAAACGAAGTCAATCCAGATAAAATATACAACTGTAATGCGAACAAAAACATTAATCCCATACAAATTCATCTTTGTTACGTCATATTTGCCTCTTGATAATTTCTGTGGCTACACTTGCGTGCTAAAACAGTATCACTCTTCTTTACTGCCTTCCGCAGCTGCTCAATAACGCGAATTATGGGCATCACATTAAACGGGGCATCACCCGAATTTTGCAAACGTATACAAGAAGCTCGTAAGTTCTCGAAACATTTCACAATTTGTTGATCGCCTGATTCTTCTTCACTTGGTTCAAACACCATCAGACATACTTCCTATAACATCATCCTAATTATTCTTTCATTTGATGACAGGTCCATCAATGTAATAAATCTTTTAGAATTATGAAGCTCCATGTATAAAACAAAACAGAATTGAAATGCCCAAATATTAACATAAATATGCATAATTCCACCTAACTTAATAACAAAATATTCAAGTTCTGGTGCCCCATGATTAATCCATTTACTGCCTCTAAGATCAAAAAAAAAAAAAAAAAAAATTAGGGACTCTTTCGATCTTGGAGAATGTATAGGAGGTAGTGACGGGTAAATCTCCATGCAGCTGTTGAATGCAAAGAGTTAGACCATCACCGGAAGAAATCGTTTTGCTCCGAGTAAACCGAGTTTTCTTGTTTCTTTCATTACATCTTAAGATGATAGAAAGTATCAACGAAATGCAACCAAATCATGCTTTCTAAAAATCTCCCATAATTTGTAGACTAAACCAACTGAAGGTGCTGAATACAAAACAGCGGTAAAAAAAAATTCAATTTTCTGAACAAATATATTTCATTTTACTCCAAATTTTCAATTTGCCTCCCGAATGAAAATCTATTAAAACAAAGCATACATTCGCGTTTAAGAGTCAGTATCATATCGCACCAAGCAAGTCCGTTATTGTCACTCAGAATCACATGAAGAAACATACTGCAAACACGAGAAACTGCTATACTGTTGCTTATCGGCATCCTTCTGTTGTTTGATCAGCATTTTGAGGAGACGCAATACAAAGGGTACAGCGGCAAATTCTGAATAGAGCCAATCCAGAATTACCTGTGCAAATTTTTGAATAAAAGCAGAACAATAAGATATATTAAATAACAACAGTCTATGCCAGTGATTTCAAAATATGTGGTTAATTTCAAAATTTCAAAATAGGTGGCTACAAAAAAAAAAACGAATTCATTTTCGTAAAAATCTTCCTTTACTTAAAAGGATAATAAATTAAATAGAGTAGATACTACAACTGAATACCATACCTTATGGTCATAGGCGATTGAAAATAAAGTGTGTCGGAACAACCGCATGGCTTTAAGCTGAGGTGGTGTGTCACTAAAATTTAAGAGTAATTAATTCCTTTAATTAATTTGCTGATGTTCAAGTCATTCTGCTATCAAACTAGTTTTTTCAAACGAAATCACCTCTCTGAAATATCAACTTCAGTTAAGTTTTACTTCAGCTAGATTCTGTCTAATTTATTTTCATTTGCAAATTGCATGAATTCCCCCAAGCATTGACTCTAATAAAATAGTTCTTTCAAGTCATAAGCAAGAGAAAGAAACTTGTTCATTGCGTACTGAACGGCAAACTAAAACGCATCACACCACAAATTGCCTCATTGTCCATTACACGAATCAGTATCGCTAAAAAATCTTTTATATCAATTTTAGAAATTTACATTTCAGCAGTTTCCATACGCAATAATGCAACAGTAGTAGAAAGGCATCTTTCATCCTGCGTCAATAAGGCTATTGACAAACAACTATGCTGTGGAATCAATCGAGTCGAAGTTTTTAATAAATCCTGAATTTCACTAGCATCTGAAAACAAGTGGCTATCAAACGAATATAGAAATGTCATCAATTTCTTTCAAAAAAAAAAAAAAAATCGCAATGAAAAGCAGTTTAAAGAATTTGTAAAGCTCTCATTTCTGCAGCTATTTTTGTGTAAATGGACGACTAATCCCAGTAAAATAAACACAAACTGCCACAAATAAAACGCAAAGTTCACACTAACTGCATATATTGATAACAAGTGCAGCTGCATGCCAACAGCAACTGAGGAACACTATTGCATTATTCAGTGGATTTGTTTTAAGGCATAACTGCTCACCACCAAACCATACGGTGTCTATAGAATGAGATCATAATATAAAAACTATAATACGAATATCTAAGAGAGATGAAATCATTATTATATTTTGATTCCAGCGAGTGGAATAATACATTATAACCATTATCTAACAGCAATCAGTTTAACAAGCTACTGAAAGATTCAAATGACATGCAGGGTTTTAACATAAGATAATTTTACCAGCGGTACAAAAGGTGTAATCCAAAAAGGGAACCTCAACAGAAATGCTAAGAAAATTTAAAAGTAATAGACAGAAAATGGACACATACCGGCACTGAAACAAATTTCCAAAACAATATCTTTCAAAATGCCAAATACGGAAACTACATGATGCGTCTCCTCACCCAAATGTTTATATCCAAAATAGCTTTTCTGCCACAAGCTAATAAGGAAACATTCAACGATAGAAAAAAAACGACGACGCACTGCACAATCCGGAAGCGAATAAAGTGAGCGGTCAAGCAAGACCCCATTCCTTGACAGAGTTGCTAGATCCGGATTATCAATATTTACATGGGATAATCCATCCAGAATTTTCAGAGCTTTCATTTCATCCATTGCATCTTTACCTGTTTCTCATGAATACATCAACACCATAACGATAACTAACACATTAGACCAATACTGATAACTATACCGCATAAGTTCATAAATTAAGTCCTTCAGATCCGCAATTCAGCAACTTATAAAACCCCCCATACTACCAAAATACTCTTAGGGAATCAAAACATCGCATCAAGTATTCCAATTTTCATAGTTCTGAGTACCGTATGCCAAAAACACAAACAGTAGTGAATGTTATCAAATGCACAACGAAGGATTTTAATAAATCTCTTTCTTTTAAACACAATGGAATACATTCATCAAAAAATTTCACAGTTGCAAACAATTCATCAAAAATATTAAAACGAAGCAAAACAATTTGACAGTACAGCATTGAGTGATTTTATTAAGCAGATAGTTCCAACAGAATTTATGCATTATCACTTTCGTCAAACAGTTCCGTCTGAAACAATCACCTGTTTAAAAAATTTGCAACAATGAATATTCTTAAAAAACTGGATATGATCAAAATAATTTCCGTTAAATCCAATGTTACAATAAGGTGCAGGAAAACTGAAGCATAATAGTTCTCTTGATCCAGAGGAAAATGAAGTTAATGCAGAAATTTATTCGGAGGAGTGTAGTTGTGGTATGTACTACTAAATACATAAAATAATGATTATTAATGAGGCGAGTGTTGATGGCAGGTTAAAAAACTACCTACAACAACAGAATAGGCTGCAAGGGATGGTTCTGGAAGCACACATTTAGTATGAACCCAACCACATTAAATTTTAGACCGCTATGAATGATATATTTCAAACAAAGAACCTCATCTTCATCTTCATCCGCATCATAATCGAAAATTTCATTTTCATCCATTGCTTCCTTTGTGTAAAACAGCACTGCTCTAGGCACAATTTGGTCACGGAATAGCTGACCAATCTCAAAATCAGCTTGCAACAGTTCCTGAGTTTCAATGTCCTGAAATTAAAGATTAATGAACCAGAAGGAGCAGGAAGCTGTCACTAATAGTTCATAACCTGAATTTGTTTATCACCGTACTTCGCTCAACAACCTTCTATATTCTGCTACAGTAAATGCTTGTATCGTAACCCATAAAATCTTTGATTTTTGAATAAACTAAAAATACCTGAAAATACATTATTAAAAAAAAAAAAAAAAAAAACGAAGCACGATTATACTAACATCATCATTTCCACTGGTTTCATTCTTATTTTCCATGAGTGGAGGGTCGAAGAAGTTGAAGAAAGAGTCAGCTTTCACAGTTTTTGTAATGAAACGACCAGCAGCGCCGCCTTTCTTCTGCTTTTTCTTAATAATTTTCTTTGTAACGTTTTTTCCCTCTTTCCAATCTATTTCGGTACTGTAAATATAGCATATAAAATTAACAATGGCATTCTAAAATACTGCAACTATTAGTAAGATGATGCATATATATGCTTCCCAACTAGCAGTTTAACGATTTTCTCGGCCAGGTTGCACCATAGATAAATACTGACCATTAGGAAAAATCAAATATAACTTACCCTTTAGCACTAATTATTACTGGACCATCGTAATCAAAAATATCGTCTTCATCCGGAGCAACTTGTAGGGTATAAAACTTCTTCAACTCTGTCTGAGTGAAATATTCATTGGGTTCGAAATGGAATGTCAGAGTATATGACTAAAAAGTTCATCCAATAAAAACCACAGATGTCTAAACCCAACATATACCAAACAACAAACATTTTCACAAAACTTCAATTACACCTTGCATACCCACTTCGCTACCCAGAAAAAAATGCCAAATTAGAATCATATCGATGACCACACACTTTAATATTTATGATGAAATCTTACATCCGGGTTAGTCTGAACGTCACATGTTATGTCAATGAGATGTTGAAGTACTGGTTCATCGTGTTCATGGATCATCTCACAAACGTGATCTACATTTTTAAGCAGGTGCAACCAAAAATTTGGAACACCTTTTGTTGGATGGTTAGGTTCCGGGGCTGATGCTTTTTCCATTTGCTGAAAATAAATCTAAAAATATCCCAAGGACAACAAATAAAGATATTTATAAAATAATTTGCATTTTAATTTTTTAAATAGGATCCATTTTCAAAAGTGTCTCTTTTAAAACAGACACTTTTAAAAGATGATCTGCAAAACTGAATAGTCACCTCGATTTCTTCCTTTGTATAACCATGAAGAATCGGATAATTAGTCTCGTCATCAGTGGGTTCATATGTACCCGTTATAATCGCTTTTCTCTGTAAGTAACACAACAGATAAATAAAATAAACCCCAAGTATTGTGGTCCATCGGTCGTCAAAGGAGGCTGTATCGCTCTTTAAAACCTTTAAAGTTCATCAAGTCTATTGAACTTATTCTAATCTAAAATAACATGTAACAAGCTCGACTCACTGTTGCAGAAACATGAAGAAACAATTATAACCAGCAGTATACAGTATGCAAATTATCTCACTATATGTATGAAAGGGGAGTGGTGAACAGCAAATGACTAAGCATCATTGTGCACATTCCAGCGGTTGTGCTGTGGCAGAACTATCAGT